GAGGTTAGGGGTGATCAGGCAGGCAGAGTGGTGAGGGGCGATCAGGCAGGCAGGCAGGTGAGGGGTTAGGAGCCAGCAGTCCTGGATTGTGAGAGGGATGTCTCCGATTGGAGAGGGTGCAGGCCAGGCTGAGGGACCCCCACCCCCCTGTGCACTAATTTTGTGCATCAGGCTTCTAGCATATATATCCTGTATAATAAAAGCCTAATATGCTAAGTGTCTTAACTGTTCAACCAGTTGCTATGATGCGCACTGACCACCAGGGGGCAGACACTCGGACCAGTAGGTTAGCTTGCTGCTGGGGTCCAGCCGATCAGGAGTGGGCAAGACAGGCCAGACATGCTCTGGAGCCCTCCCAAGGTCCCTCCCCGGCCCTGATTGTGCACCGGTGGGGTCCCTCGGCCTGGCCTGCGGGGATTGGGCTGAAACCAGCTCTCTGATATCCCCCGAGGGGTCCTGGATTGCGAGAAGGTGCAGGCCAGTCCAAGGGGCCCCACGGGTGCATGAATCCGTGCACCAGGCCTCTAGTATGTGTGTATACACACACACACACACACACACTAACGCTAGAGGCCCAATGCACAAAATTTGTGCAAGGGCTTTGGCCCCAGCCCCCACCCGCGGATGCCATGGCTGCAGCCGGGGGCCTCTGCCGCCTCTGCCTCTGCCACGGCTTTGTCTGGAAGGAAGGACGTCCGGTCTAATTAGCATATTATGCTTTTATTATTATAGATGCTTTAAAAAATGTTGTTCCAGCCAGTAAGTTTTGGGGTAGTTTGTATGCAGTGATAGATAAATAATATATACCACAGATGGCTTGATTAAATCCATTGGCTATAAGGAAAGGCTTGGTTGTGCTGGTGTAGGCTCAGGGTAGCACGTACTCTGTGTGTGCCCCCTCTCTTGTCCCACAGGGTACGTCTATGTGTATGTGGCACAGGGGCTGTGTGTCTGACTGGTGTGCCTATGAGGAGGAAGCTGAAGAGTGCCACTTCCCTTTCCCAGCTACCTGGAGCCACCACAGTACCTCTCTGCCTGGTTAGATGCCCTCCCCTCAAGATTGGGAAGTAAAAATAACATCTCCACCCCTCTGGGAAAAACTTCACCAAAGGAATCTCTGCCCAACTAAACGTTACTTGCTCCCTCAAAGACAGAAACGAAGAACTTTATCCTTGAGAAGGAGAGTGGAAGAATCTAGTCCTGTGGCCAGAGCAGGACTTCAGAGAACAGGGAGGCTTGACTTTTTACTCACTGTCTAAAGCAGTGGTCTCCAAAATGAGCAAGAGAATCCACTGGGATGAGAGAGAAAATACTATTTTATTTAGAAAATTAAGAAATTTAAGCTTTACCAATATCCACTCTACAATCTGACCCTAGGACAGTGATGGCGAACCTATGACACGTGTGTCAGAGGTGACACGCAAACTCATTTTTTTGGTTGATTTTTCTTTGTTAAATGGCATTTAAATATATAAAATAAATATCCAAAATATAAGTCTTTGTTTTAACTATGGTTGCAAGTATCAAAAAATTTCTATATGTGACACGGCACCAGAGTTAAGTTAGGGTTTTTCAAAATGCTGACACACCGAGTTCAAAAGGTTCGCCATCACTGCCCTAGGATCTTCTTAGTCCATGTGGACCAGCCACATGTAAGGTCAACTTTGAAGGAACAGTCTGTGGGTTCAGAGGTGACATGCGAACTCATTTTTTTGGTTGATTTTTCTTTGTTAAATGGCATTTGAATATATAAAGTAAATATCAAAAATATAAATTTTTGTTTTACTATGGTTGCAAATATCAAAAAATTTCTATATGTGACACGGCACCAGAGTTAAGTTAGGGTTTTTCAAAATGCTGACACACCGAGTTCAAAAGGTTCGCCATCACTGCCCTAGGATCTTCTTAGTCCATGTGGACCAGCCACATGTAAGGTCAACTTTGAAGGAACAGTCTGTGGGTGGGCCTGGCACAGAGGGGCAGGCAGTGCCCACCACCCCTTAATCCACTACTAGAGTGTTACGGGTGCTCTTGCAGGTTCAAGCCCTGGTTAAGAGGCTGTGCTGATTATATTATCTACCTACTAATATTAACCTAAATTAGCCCTAGACAAATGCACAAGGGCCTGAACATTGCTCAGAGGAACCACAGTCTGAATACTAATATGCAAGCACAGGAGAAGAGGGCAGAGCTGATTCTGCTCCTGTCCCTACGGTATCAGCCACGTTAATTGTTGCTTTTCCTTTTTCCCCTTGTAATAAAATTTAGCAAGGAGTTAGCAAAAATATTTAAAAGTATAAAGAAGATCATTTGAAATACAGTGAAATTTGCCCTAAGTGTACATTGCACCTCCAGATTTGCTAGTGATGGTATCACCTGCATAAAATATATAAATAAATTATATATGTATGTGTACATAAATATATTCAACTTTTTACCAATAAGGGTACATTAAAAACTAGAAGCCATGGGTCTACAAGATACTGTGACATTTTCTAACTTAATTATCAGAGGCCAGGAGGACCCACCTGATGAGGGATTACAGAGGGTTAAGAAGAGAGAAAAGAAAACAAAATAATTTGAGTTTATTTGTCCTCCACAGAACCTTTTCCCTGAAATAGTCTCCCACCAGGCCCAGCTCCTACAACTGGATAGATAGGAACCTTCCCTCCCTTTACTTCCCCAAGTAACACAAAGCTATTTAAACAGATGCCTAAAGCCAAATCAGAGAGAAAAGCAATGCATGCCCTCCACACATCCCAATTTGTAAGTGTTCTCGCTGCCCCAGGAGAGGCTGTTGGGAGGAGCCTTCAGTTCCGAGAGGAAGGCCCACTGCACGCCTGCAGCATGCCCACTGCCGGTCAGGGGGAAGACACTGGCCCTTTCAGCAAGAAGGGCTTGGCTGCCTCCAGGATGTCCAGTTTGGGGTCCAGTGAGCGACCAAGCCCCTCGAGCACCATGATGGCAAACACAATGGAGGCGAAGTTGCTCTCAAGCTTTACCTGAAAGATAAAATAAGTGGTTCTTCCCAAAGCCCATTGATATATAGAGTTCTGGATAACCATGTAGCTGTCTGCTCTCAGCCTCCTGTACCCGCCCATGTGACTTTTACTGTCTACCTGACCCTCTTTTCCCTACCCCATCATTTTACCCACCATCTCATCTACTCACCCAACCTCCCGTCTACTAGTATTACTAAGGAAAAATCTGGGGGATGTGGTATGTACTTCTCTAGGGGTGTGTGTGTGTGTGTGTGTGTGTGTTCATATGACTTAAAAATAATAAAATTAGTATCTCAGCGATATACCAGAAACTGTAAATCTAAATAAGGATCATTCTTCTGACCAGCCACCTTTCTGACTCTTAATTCTATGTTATGATCCTTGCCAAATGCAGTATTTCACTGTCGGATTGCAGAACCTCAAGAGAAACAATGGGAAAGGCCATCTTCAGACAAGAATCTGCCCTGCCCTGCCCTCAACTCCTTAGACCCTTGGCTGACAGTTTTACTTTGAAGAATAACCCAAGACCACACTCCATCACAAGGAGACAGACAAAGGCCAGGGTGGAGAACTGTGAGGCCATGTCCCTCCAAGGAACAGGGGCAGGAGGCAGAGGCCACAACAGCTGTGCTGGCATCTCTGAACACACCAGGACAAGAGGCACCTCCTCTTGGGCCGGCCCAGCCTCAGGGTGTTACATGCTCAGGAAAGCTGTATAAGTATGACTTAGATGAGTACCACACATCATTCTTGTGCACTGAGGAGGGGAAGGGTGTGACAGCTTTCATTAGACGGTGTTTACATCTGTGAATCCATTTTTCTACAGCTCAGTATCACAGATACTTGGACAGCTTAGCCTAGCTGAGACACAGACCAACATTGTGACAAAGGGAGAACCTGCTGTACCTAGTTAGTACACAGAAGCAGCACTCTTCATGCTAATGAAGTGGTACCAAAAATGTTTTTAAAAAATGAGATCTCATATAAGAGGAATACTTCTCATGACCCTGTGGCCACCCATCAGCTTCCCCAGAGACCTCCCCTCCAGCCTGGCCGGAGCAGAGAGGCTCAGCTCTGCCAGGGGCCTCACCTTGTGAGTCATCAGTAACTTAAAGACATTCGAGAGAAGGCTGGAAACTTGGAGCTGGAAAAGATAGTAAAATTGACTGCAGAGAATGCCGACCTCCCTCCCACACCTCCCCAACTACTCTCCCAGGCCCCTGTCCCATCCTCCCCCAACTCCTCATCCCTCCTATCACACACACACATACCAGTGAGTGCAAAGAGACTCTAACTCCAGAAGGACTGCACATGCACGAGCCCAGCTCCCATCTCGAGTATGAGGAGCCTGAGTTCAAAGGCTCCTTCCAGGAAGAGGCCTGGAGGCCCGGCTCACCCAGTGTGTGTCCACCAACGCACACACACCACATCTGAATAAGGAGGATCAGCAGTGCCTGGGTGCCAGCTGCTGCTCGTTCTGAGCTCTGACTCGATCCTGCTAGTGTAGCCATGAACTTGAGGAAACGCTCAGTTTTGCTAGAACTGAGTGTAAAATACAAATTGAACTCAAGTCTAAATAAAGGATGTGAACATTAGGTATGTCTTCTGGCCACTCAGAGACCGTCATCCCTCCCTTCAAGCTCAGCTGAGCTCGAGATACAGAAGAAGCGGCAGAACAGCTACACCCCAGACAGGCCGGGGTGCGACACTATGTATGTCATGCCCCAGAAGGCACCCTGGGAACCTGGTCAAGGAGCCACTCTTGAGAGTCAGAGATTCCAGTGGGCCTCCTCACACCTGGGAGATGTGGGCAGGTGTTCTTTATCTGCCTTAAAACTCAAACCCCCTCCAGACTTCTCCCCATTAAAAGATCTCCCTTCACTTTGGGGTTTGTTCTCGCCAAGGGCAAGGGCAGTACTCAGGCCCCTGCCCCTCTGTGGCCTGCTCACCTTTTCCAGGGTGATAGTGTTCTTCCTGGCCTGCGTTACTAGTGCGGCCATCTCAGCCTTGAATCGCTCCACGTCCTTGCACTCACTGGCTCGAGCGTGATGCAGGATGAGCTCAGCCACTCTTTGGCCCTGGAAGATACAAAAGAAAAGAAACTTGGTAGAGCTGGGAGGGCACAAAATTAGATGATCTGCCCACACTCCTTCATATCCTAGTTGTTTCCACCTAGTTCTTCTATCTTGCCCTTGGCCACTGCTGACCAACCAGCCTAGCCTCAGAGCCAGAGCCACCAGGACCTGTCACCAGGCTGGACCAGCCACACTGTCTGCATGGGCTCCCTTCTGGGCCCAGCAGAATCCCCTCCTCACCACCCCTGTGCTGCAGCCTTCCCACTCCTCCTCCACCCAGGACACCCTCTGACCGAAGCCTCCATGGTCTCCCCAAACACCCACCTACCCTGGTAGTCACTGCCAATGCCTTTCATCTCCCTCCTCAGGCTGTGACCTTCTTCGTCCACCCAAGCCTGTGCAGGGGAACATGCCCCACCCTACCTGCCACCGTGGCCCAGGCTCAAGCCTCTGCCCCCTCAGAAGCCTCCTAAGCAGGAGCTAGCCTTCCTAGTGCCCACTGCACGCTTGTTGAAGAAGGAGAAACTGCCACGACTACACGACGGCATTTGGGAAGGAGGCATTTCTTCCCATCCCAAACCATGAGCTGCTTGGAACTGGCCTCAGTCACGGGCACCAGCACCTTCTCACTGAAGACCAGAGATGCTTCTGTTAGGAGCACCCATGGCAAAGACGGCATTTACAAGGAAAATGAAGGCTAAAGAGCCCTAAAGTTCTCAAGAGCTTCAAGGATTTGGGCCCAACTCCCAAGGGCCCAGTAGGTCTCACCTGCCCCATTGCCACGGCCATGAAGACTGCATGGAAGTTCCTCAGATCAGCAGCCCGCAGCTCAGCCACAATACCAGCATCCAGGAGCACCAGGCGCAGTGGGCACCGGGCAGGCGTCATGGACACCACCAGTGTGTCACAAACATCCGCCTGCTGCAGCTGTGCCTCTTGGCTCTTGGAAAGACCATCGGCACCCTGGACCAGGATGTTCCCAGGGTGAAGGTCCGCATGGACAAAGTTGTCCACAAATATCTGGAAAGAGATCAGCACTATTCAAGGCTAAATCAACCCTCACCACCCCATCACCACCAGGAAAAAGCTTCCAGGGTGATGGTATGTTCCTAGTGTACAGAGAAGTGTACATTTGATAAATTAATTCATTGTCTGATGACATCAGTTCAGAATTTGTACAGGGACAGGACAGGTTGATGTTTTCAAAAGAAAAGTTATTTTCAAAGTCAAGAGCATTAAAAAATATTATAGGAAACATGAAATGTTGCAGGTTCAATCCCTGGTGGGAGTGGGTAACCAATCAATGTTTCTCTCATACATCAATGTTTCTCTTCCCCCCCTCTTTTCTCTCCATTCCTCCTTCTCTCCCCGCTCTCTTCCCCTTTCTCTAAAATCAGTAAAAAAGCCCTAGCTAGTTTGGCTCAGTGGATAGAGCGTCGGCCTGTGGACTGGACGGTCCTGGGTTCCATTCCAGTCAAGGGCACATGCCCCGGTTTCAGGCTTGATCCCCACTAGGGGGCGTGCGGGAGGCAGCCGATTAATGATTCTCTATCATCATTGATGTTTCTATCTCTCTCTCCCTCTCCCTTACTCTCTGAAATCAACAACAAAAATTTTTTTTTAGCCCTAACTGGTTTGGCTCAGTGGATAGAGCGTCAGCCTACAGACTGAAGGGTCCCGGGTTTGATTCCGGTCAAGGGCATGTACCTTGGTTGCAGGTACATCCCCAGCACACCGCAGGAGGTAGCTGATTGATGAGTCTCTTTTGCAAGTTTTCAAAAGAGCCCTATGTATGCTTAGCAGATATCTCGAAGGAAGCCTGTAGCCTTGAGTACAGATAACTAAAAGACACCTGGTATGAGAGCATGGGAGTATCAGCCCCTTACATTAGATGACTAGCCTGCATGGTCAGACAACGAAGCTTATCTTCCCTATTATTTAAGCAAGCATGAAGCATGTGTTTACAGAAGCTAAAAAGCAGTTAATTCACAGAACAAGGGACCATCTAAAAATAGCAGAGAATTTCAAACAGCAGTTTTACAAAATAGAGATTACTATGCTTCATTATGTCAAATTAAAATTTTATGCAGGCAAATTACCACCTGTGATATTTACATAAGATCAACAACAAGTATATATTTACATAAGAAAATAATAACAAGGAGATAAAGTAAAGAATCAACTTTTATTGTTAACAGCTGAAATTTGAAGACATCTCAAAACAAGTATTTTGGCCACATTCATATTGTATTGGTATTATGTCCATGGACAAATATAATACACTTATTAGTAGAAAAAAATGTTTTTCTACCCTTTATACTCTCGTTGAAATTTATTTCTAACAATACAGTACAGGATAGAGACCAAGATGGCGGCATAGGTAAACACCGGAGACTGCTGCCGCAAACAACCACTTCAAAAATACAACTAAAAGACGGAACGGACATCACCCAGAACCACAGGAAGGCTGGCTGAGGAGAGACTCTTCAACTAGAAGGAAAAATAACAGCACACCGAGGCTCAGAGGAGGCGCAGTGTGGAAAATACTCAGGTGCGGAGGTGCGCGCGCAAAGGGGGCTGGTGGCTGAGAGCGCGGTTGTCGTTTTCGGTCAGGGGGGAGTCTCAGACTCTGAGCTCCAGATCTGGGCGAGTCTCTAGGGACTCAGACTCAAATGGGAGAAGCGGGATTGTCTGGCATCAGTTGGAACGTGAGGGCAGCTTTCTCTCCGAGGTTTGCAGCGGTTCCTGGGGTTCTGAGAAGCAGAGCCTCTGGGAACGGGACTGAGAGGGGCCATAACCGCTCCCTCCGCCCGCCCTGTTGAGCCCGCCCCGCCCAAGCCCTGCGCAGAGCCATTTGCCAGATCGCCTCAGGCAAAGGCTAGATTAGCACCTCCCCAGAGGACAGAAGTTTTCCGCGGCAGACACAGCTGATTCACACAGCCAGTCGGCCTGGTGGTCAAATCCCTCTAGTATTAACTACAACAATCAAGGCTCAACTAGAACAAGACTGCGCACAAAGACCACTAGGGGGTGCACCAAGAAAGCATAAAAAATGCGGAGACAAAAAAACATGACAGAAATGGAGGATATAGAGCTAAAAAACGCAATTTTGAGGGCTTGCAATAAACTTTTGGAGAGCTTCACGAAAACTAATGAGACCCTCGATGCTATGATAAAGAAACTAGAAATTAAGCATACATGCTCTGAAATAAAGAATATTACACCCAATAGCAGACCAGAGGAGCGCAAGAATCAAGTCAAAGATTTGAAATGCGAAGAAGCAAAAAACACCCAACCGGAAAAGCAAAATGAAAAAAGAATCCGAAAATACTAAGATAGTGTAAGGAGCCTCTGGGACAGCTTCAAGCGTACCAACATCCGAATTATAGGGGTGCCAGAAGAAGAGAGAGGGCAAGATATTGAAAACCTATTTGAAGAAATAATGACAGAAAACTTCCCCTACTTGGTGAAAGAAATAGACTTCCAAGTCCAGGAAGCGCAGAGAACCCCAAACAAAAGGAATCCAAAGAGGACCACACCAAGACACATCATAATTAAAATGCCAAGAGCAAAAGACAAAGAGAGAATCTTAAAAGCAGCAAGAGAAAAAAAGTCAGTTACCTATAAGGGAGTACCCATACGACTGTCAGCTGATTTCTCAACAGAAACTTTGCAGGCCAGAAGGGAGTGGCAAGAAATATTCAAAGTGATGAATAGCAAGAACCTACAACCAAGATTACTTTATCCAGCAAAGCTATCATTCAGAATTGAAGGTCAGATAAAGAGCTTCACAGATAAGGAAAAGCTAAAGGAGTTCATCACCACCAAACCAGTATTATATGAAATGCTGAAAGGTATCCTTTAAGAAGAGGAAGAAGAAGAAAAAGGTAAAGATACAAATTATGAACAACAAATACACATCTATCAACAAGTGAATCTAAAAATCAAGTGAATAAATAATCTGATGAACAGAATAAACTGGTGATTATAATAGAAAAAAAATAACTAATTATTGTACATATTGTTCATGGGTTCACTGAGCATCGACCCATGAACAAGAGGTCACCAGATCAATTCCCTGTCAAGCCACATGCCTGTGTTGCCAGCTTGATCCCCAGTAGTGGGCACACAGGAGGCAGCCAATTGATGTTTCTCTCTCTCATTGATGTTTCTGTCTCTCTATCCCTCTCCTTCCTCTCTCTCTCTAATATCAATAAAAACATTTTTTAAAGTAAAAAAAAAAATCAGTTAAAAAAAACCCACAAAAACATATCCTTGGGTGAGGATTAAAAAAATAAAATTATCTACTCATTGTTTAAAGATTTTCCCCAAACCTCTCTGCTCTTAAAATTCATGGAACTAGCCGGTTTGGCTCAGTTGATAGAGCATTAGTCTGTGGGCCAAAAGGTCTAGGGTTTGATTCCAGTCAAGGTCAAAGGCAGGTACTAGTAACTTGGTTGCAGGCTCCTCCCCGGCCGAGCCCTGGGTCGGCTCCTGCAGGAGACATCCAATTGATGTGTTTCTCTCACATCGATGTTTCTCTCTGTCTTTCCCTCTCTCTTCCACTCTCCCTAAAAATCAATGGAAAAATATCCTCGGGTGAGGATTAACAAACAAAAAAAATTTTTTCATGGAACTTCCTTTCTTTCAAATATTTCATAACTCAGGCTTCCCCTCCATTACCTCCATTTGTCCACACAGTGACATGTAACAGCAATACTAACCACCACCTACTGGCAGAGAATCAAGTAGACAAGGAGAAATGGCTTTGAAACTACTAAGCAGGAAAGAAAGCCCCAGGAACTATGATAGACAGAAAGTCAGGTGTGACTTTGGGGAACAAAAATCTGCCTCCCATGAAAGAGAAACCACTAGCAATCCTAGAGGGGAAAAAGGAGAGCCCAGTGCAGAGGCACAGAGCAGCTGCTTCAGAGGGGCTCTCAGCGGACTCCTCCTGGATGCAGGCCACAGTGACCCTCTTAGTCCAGACCCTGGCTTTACTTGACATAGGGAGGCTGCTACCTGGTGAAAATCCTGGGACCCTGACCCAAGCCTAGCACCTTGCTGTCAGCTCATCCCCTCAGGGCCTATGCCCCTATCCTTGACCCCAGGAGCTGGAAGCCCCCATAATCTCCCCACTCCTGGGCACTGCTTATTGCTGCTTCTACCCTGGCTACTCCCCACTGCACCCTCCCCTCTACCCAAATGCCCCTTGGAGCCTCTGTCAACTGAGCTTCCACTGCACTAAGTGGAAATCTGGCTCTCCCACAACAACCTCTCTTCTCCAGGAGCCCCTTGGGTGGGGGCTGCTGACCTGGAGCTGAGGGTGGAGTCAGGGCTCCCAGCCCTGAGCCCTCTCTGCAGGAGCGCTTAAGCTTCCACCATGCTGTCAGCTTGCACCCACTACCATCCTGCTCGCCTCGGCCCCTCCATCTCGGTCATATCAGTTCTTTCCTCCCACTCTCGGACCACATACCTGGTTCCTTCTTATCCCAACTCTGCACCCTCTAGACCTGGGCACTCGTCCTGCTTATCTAGCCTAGACCCTGCCATCCATCCCTCAAACACTCTGTGCCAACCACCAGGAAGACCTCAGACCCTCAACAAGTATCTGTATCTTCTTTCTTTGCTCCTGCATGTGAGCTGCTAGCAATGCTGGGTTGCCACAATTACTAATGATGCTGATAACTAACATTGCTTAGGGTTCACTGTGTCCCTTTCTGAGTGTCAACTCATTTAAACATTATCAGGCCATCCCCTCATAGGTGACACCTAGGCTTCCCTCACATGCCAGCTGATCTGAAGCCACTTCCTGAATAAATCCCTGGGCTAGGTCAGGCCCCTCTTAAATGGCCCCTTGGTGCCTGTACCTACCCTGTATATAATTTACTTATTCATGGACAGTCTTCCCACTAAACAGTAGTTCTGTGAACATTGTAATCCTGTCTCTTTTGCTCACTACTGTAAAGCCAGCACTGTCTAACACATAGCAAATGCTCAATACATACTTGCTGAATGAATGAAGTAGATGTAATATACGATGTTGTCTTAGGCTGTTTGTAGGCAACTAGGACTGGGCCTGGGTCTTGTTCCCCACCCTTCCCATAGCACCTTGCACGGCGACAGAGCGCAAGCCACTGAGAAAGTGCTTAACAAAGCTATAGAATGAATGGCTATCTTGGTAGGCTCAGCTGTTTTTAAAGCAGACTCTACACTGGGCTTGCCCTCCACCCAGTGTAGCTGAACAGTGTCCCCACCATTTCCCACATGCAATTGGGCCACATGCTGGGCCTGAGCACCCTCTCCAAGCCCATGAGCTCACCATCTTCAGGAGCATGTCGATCCCCAGCCGAGCAATCTTCCTCTTCAAGTCCACGGGAATCCCTGCCTGCTGGTAACTGGACACGGGCACACTCTCCTTTAAGAAGATCAGGGAGGGAACAACTTTACCCTGGACAGCTCTGCTCCTCATCCCCACGGCACACATGCTGTTGCCTTCCCGTCGGTTAGGAAGTGACCCAAAGAGTTTTTCCTTTCTTAGAGCCGCTATGAGTCTGTCCCTCACAAGCTGATTTTAACCTATTTACATTTCCCTTCCATAATACTTCTCAAAGGAAAACAAGACCCATAGATTTATTAGAGAGGAAACCCATTGACTTTGCCACCCACAGGTAAGGATGTCGCAATGTGGGGGGAAGAGACAGGAACAGGCCCCAGAGAGCTAGTTTCTAGTCAAGAACCAGCCAATAGAGACATGAATGAATTCTGTGACCTTGAGCAAGAAAACAAGGGCAAAAGGGGAAAAGAGAAGAAAGGGGAGCTAATAAATAATCATTTCATATAGCTTAGTTATTTGTCAGAGCAGCCCACTAAGATAGAATTTGTTATCCCTAATTAATAAATAAAAGAACTAAAGCCCAGAGAGGTTAAGTAACTTGCTCAAGGCTACACAGCTAGTAACTTTGGAAGGTGGCATTACTTCCCTGCATCTCATATTACCATCTTTACAAAGGAGGCTGGAGCAGGAGACAGCTAAGGCCAGTGACATGACACAAACATTTATTGAGCACTTTATCTGTGCAAACTCTAGCTGAGGGCATTTTGCATTGTGTGTCACTGACTCCTGAGAGAACCCCATGAGGCAGGAAGAGTGGCCTGCTGTCATACATGAAGAAACTGAAGTCATTCAACAAATAAAGCGGCAGAGCAGATTTTCAAATCCAGAAGGTCTGAGTCTACACCAAGGTTCTCAGCCAGCTCACTATGCTACTGCCCACCTCGGATCACATCTGAAGTCCTCGCACATGTAATCACATGCTCTCTCGCGGCTTTTGTCTTTGCAGACTAAAACCACCAAGTGGAGCAGAGACAGCCCAGCTGTGAGTGAAAGGCCCAGCCAGGTAAGTTCTGATTCTTACTTCATATGTTTCCACCAAAACATCCCTGGTGACAAAGGGATGCAGAGGAGTGGGGAATCTGACAGACTTCACGTTCAGGAAGTTGCACTGGAAGTGCTCGAGATTCCGAGCTTCGTAGCGCAGGTCGATCTACAGGGAAGTGAAGAGAAAAGATGAAGGGGTAGTCGGGGCACAGGGATAGCAACATCTGAACTGCCAAAGAGCTAGCAAGTCACAGAGTTACCTGCTTCTCCTGCACAGACAGCTCCCCAGGAGACATGGGAGGAGGCATCCTGTGACTAAAGGCCTCCCCGCAAACCCCCAACCCTCTCTTGAACTCCTCTAAGCTACAGACAACAGACAACATTGCATTGCCTGGGCTTCCCTGCTTCTCCGCTCTTCCTGCTCTGCCCACCCACTTCACACCAGCCAATGGACCCCTTCCCCACCTCCCAGGGGTTCAGCTTTGTGGCCTCTCCACACCACTGCCGCCCAAGCCAACACTAGCCCCTGCCCCCAGCCCCCGGCCAACACTCTAACCACTTAGCACACTGGCCAGGACCCCAGCTCTTTCCCTTGATTAAGACTCACTTCCACCCACTGCACTGACACTGCTCTTCCCAACTCACCAAGCGTTTTGCTTGCCAGAGTCAAAGGCCCAGTCCTATTTTTATCCTAATTAACTCTAAGACCTCATTCTTCCTGAACCAGTTTTCACTATCCCAGCTTCCACCCCTGCCTCTCAACTGCCCTATCTGGGTCTGGGCTTCTGGCCATTCCTCCTCAAGTGCCCCAGAGATGCTGGTATCTCTCAGCTCCTGACCTTCACCAGCTTTTTCTCTTCCTCTCCATCCCCTCACATCCTCAGCTAGTACCTCTTGATGACAGAACCTTGACCTCCATCCAGTCCCCTTCTACCAGTCTCTGGACTTATATTCAAGTCCATCTGGACATTGCCCTGTGGAAGGCCACAGGGACCCTTGAACTCAGTGTCTACACAGAATTTACTTGCATACACACCCACATGTATCCAGTCACCTGAGAGTCACTGCAGATTACTCCTTCTCTTACCCTCCACACCCATCAGTGCTCAGTGCCATCAACTCTACAGCCCTAACCACTCTCGGATCTATTCTCCCTTTCCACCCCACTGCCACCCCCATGGTGACTCACAAGAAGTCACCTGAACCCCAACAGAGGCATCTGAGTTGGACTTCCTGACCCCTCATCTTCCCTCCCCTCATCTTTCCTCTCCATCTGCTGGTGTCCCCTGCTACGTGCAGAATGAAGTCTAAATTCTTTAGGATGACATCCAAGGGGGGGTCATGGGTTGGCCCCTACTTCTCTCTTCAGGTCTATCTCTTGTGCCTCCCCCTTCCTCTACTTCCCAAAATTCTAGCTTCACCCAATCTGTTTGGTGCTGAACACCCCAGCCTGCTGATTTATCCCCATCTTTTGCTTTCCTTATTCCCTCTGATCGGAACGTTTTCCCCCCCATTTGGTCCAACTGTAAATACCCCACACCTTTCAAGACCCAACTTGAGCCAAGGGAGCCTTGACCCTCAAGATGGAATGACTACTTCCTCTCTTGAGCCCCAACTGAACCCAACTGAACCTGTGGAGACTCCTACTGTAACTCTGATCAAACTCTATTTGCAAGTATTTATAGGTCAGCCCCCTCTGCCTACAATATATTCCTATGGACAAGAAAAGCTCACTTGTTTTCTTAGTTCATCAGCTTCTCGTTATATCCAAGGACCTAAATGAAGACTTGGCACATTGCTTCTGAAAGTCTGCCAATTTCTGCACTACCAATAGGGAGCCAGGGCAGATGCCTACTTGGAACCTTGATGGCCCCCAAAGTGTATTTACCAAGTCTGGCTACTTAAAAAGGTGTCCCAAAGTCCTGAACAGGGAGGAGGTCCTTGTCTACTCAAAAGCCCTGGAAACAAAGCAAAACAAGGCACTGTGACTTAACCTAATTCTTCTTATCACCCTAGAGTTCAGCCATTGATTGTGGCACTTAGAGATAATGTTGTATATTCCACCAGGATGATTTCACTTTCCTCCCAGGCACTAAGGAAGACTGTGTTTCCTAAGCAACCTTGCAGGGCCTGTGTAATTAAAGCTGACCTTTAGACTAGGGAGAAATGATGTTCATCACTTCCAGGCCTGGCCACAAAATCTCTCACATGGTCCTCCATGGTTTTTTCCCAATTCCACACTGACCCTACATGACACATGTTGTAGATGGCAGTGCCAAACTTGGGAGGAAACTGGGTCCCTGAATAACTGTGGTGTAGAGCTTCCTCCCTCTCTCCTTCAGTTCACCTGCATGGAACTTTGATATAAGCAATAACCTTGTTGCATTAAGCTACTGAGACTTGGGTGTTCTTTGTTATATCAACTAGTGTTACCTACCCTGACTAACATACCATACTAGATGTGACCTACTGGGAAATTACTCATTCATCCAGCATTTACTAAACAGCTGCTAATGGTAAGAACTCTCTTAGATGCTATTTATAACCAAGGGAAGGGAAATTCACCTGTTGGACCATGAGCTTCTCAAATTCCTCCACTATCTCAGGCAAGCTAAGCCACTTGATTCCTGGCAAAAGTGCAAGGACTTGGCTGCCCATCTTCATCAGCAGCAGGTCCATTCTCACCTGAGAGAGCAGGCCAGGGTGCAATACCTGCCAGAAAGAGGAACAGTGAGACAGAGGAGGGATCAGGAAGGCATGTTCATTTAGCCAGGGCTGGGTCGTACCATCAAAGGAGAACCAGCTGGCTTCTCATCAGAGCAAAGAGGAAGTAGTCCCAACACCCAAGATGCTCTTGCCTCCCTCACTCCTGTGTGCCTTCCCTGAGGAGATGCTGAAGGCAGCTCCTCTGCACTGCACTTAGCTTTCCTGGGAAGAATAGGGGGGCGTTTTTCTTCCTAAATATATTAAGTTTAGATCAGTGGCTCTCAAAGAGTGCAAACAAGTCACCACAGGGTGCTTGGTGAAAATGTGGGAGAGTTTTTCCCAAGGAGGTAAAAGAGATCATCAGGGATACCTGCTACTCATGTCTGCCAGATACCCTGGGTAGTGCTGAATGGGAGTGGAAAAGTGTGGAGACAAGAAATAATGGAGCCCAGGCAGAGAAGGCAGAAAATGAAGCGAGAAGAAAGGCACTTCTATAAAAATGAACACTGCCATCTTGGGCTCGTGTTCAACCTAGTCTGTCTCCAATTTATCCTGACCCCAGAGTAGTAGATCAGCTAGATCAGCGGTTCTCAACCTGTGAGTCGCGACCCCTTTGGCAGTCGAACGACCCTTCCACAGGGGTCGCCTAAGACCATCCTGCATATCAGATATTTACATTACGATTCATAACAGTAGCAACATTGCAGTTATGAAGTAGCAACGAAAATAATTTTATATTTGGGTCACAACATGAGGTACTCTATTTAAAGGGCCAGAAGGTTGAGAACCACTGAGCTAGATGGTGGTTTCTCCACCTGCAGAGGCAGCGAACTCCAAACCCACTTCCTTTTTCTTTTATGAGACTATCACACCACCACCTCTCCCTCAAAGCCAAGAAACAAAACAGTTTGCACATCATACACACTCAGATAATAGCCAAGCTAATGGAAGTCAATGCAAGGCAATGTGGGGTGATTGGCAAAAGAGGGGTTCCTGATCTAGGACAGCTCCCTGGGATTAGTGAGATTTTAGAGATGGGAAGGGCCCGCTGAAGACATCAGAGCACTTACTTTCACTGCCACCGGGATGAGGTGATGTGGTTCAGGTAGGTGGGCAGGTGCCGAAGCCTGAGACACAACTGCGTCTGATCCAACCAGGTCAGCTTGAGGGAGAAGCAGCTTTTCTAGAAACGACTGGTCAGCAAGACTTCCTTGAGATCCCCACTCCTTCTCCAGGTGTCCAAAGAGCTCTCCCAGCCCCCCACGGGCATCTGAACAAGGCCGAAGCCTGGAGGCCTTGGCAAGTCTCTGGATGCTGTCATTCTCCAGGAAGGCAGGATTGGCACGTGCTTTGTACACTTGGGCCACGCAGCCTGAGCCCACAGGTTCCTGCTTCTCAAAGCACAGGACCTTCCCCCAGTCCTCCCCAAAGGCCTGCTGCAGGATGTGCTCAGTGTGGATCCAAGGGTGTGGGGTCACCCGGACATGCAGCTTGGAGAACTGGGCACAGAAAGCCTCTGAGAAAAGGTCTCGCCGGGTGCTGGCCCACTGGCCCAGTTTGATATACGTTGGGCCTGAGGTCTCGGTGGCTTTCAGAAGCAGGTGGAGCCAGAGGCTGGAGATGCTGGGAGCCAGGTAGGTGAGAGGGTAGAGTAGAAGGAGGGGGAAGAATTTCACCAAGAGAGCCCCAGCCCGGAGCCCAATCCGGAGGTACAGAAGGAGGCAGCCGAGCCGCCCCTCGTGGGGGACTCTTTCCAGGGGCCCATTTTCAGCCAGTTCACCCCAGCTGGCCCTTCGCTGACACAAGGGCTCAGGGACCCCGTCACCAATGTCCCCACAGACTGAGACGAATTTGGGCAAAGTGCCAAGCAGAAGCCAACACAGTCTGGAATTTCGTCCAGAGGGTCTTAAAAGACTGAGTTCCTTTCTGAGCTCAAAACCCCGGAGGTGTGACAAGCAGACCCGGACAGAGAAGCGCCAGGGAGTCACCATCCTCTCCGGGAGTTCCACCGCAGAGGCTGCCTGCCCTCCACGTAAAGGGCACCTACCTATGTGCACCAGGCTGACAGGAGTCAGGACCACAGCTGAGAATTGCACTGAAATGTGGGGCAGCCGCCAGATCTCACGAAGCTCATGTGCAGTCTAAACCCAGCCCTGCTCCTAATCCGGCCGGGGCTGGCCCGCACCACCCCTGAGGCCGCCCAGCGCTCTGGGCCTTAGCCGCAGGTGGGGACGGCACATCTGTCC